GGAATATTGAAGTGAAAAGAGTATACTTGTAAAATTTGAAAGGTTGTTATTTAGTGTACTTGTGCCCACCTCATAAGTATAACCCATCGTTTATTCTAAAACAATTGAAAAATGATTGACATAATATAAATAATATAAAAGGAATGTCCACCATGCTTGTCAGTGCTCTTATACTTTGAACAATAATACAATCCCATTGTTAATTGGTAGATCTGTTTTTTTGAAAAAAACAAATATTAATATGATGTTATATACAATAAGTTATTTGTAGTAATATTATTCATTATCTACTACTATTAAATAGGTTATGCTTCCCCATTATCTGTTTTTTGAAGTTACACATTTTCTTTTAGTTAATGAATAGATGAATGAAAGAGTGAGTGAAATAAAATTAACCAACATTTCTTAAAGATCCATATGCTGTTTGCTCATAAGTCAACTGTTATTAATTATACTGTCTTTGATTAGCACCTATTTTTTAATAATACTTTATGTGATGTATTCTGCAGAAGTCTGAAATCTTCAAAAATATTTACCAAATAAAATAATTTCTTTTTGTAGTCCTTTTATACAGTGATGATAATAAATAGGAATAATTGACATTTTCTTAAGTCATGTACTAGTAGCTATAGTAGTAGTAATATAGATTATTAAATATAATTATTGTAATTTATATTATCTTGTTAAAGGAAATAAGCCTTATTTATAATTTTACAAATAGTTAAAATCCCTTAACAATAATATTAATATTAATATAGAATTTGTTGCATCAAACTGTGAATTAATATTTTATGAAACGAATAAAATGAATAAACCGAATAATTCGAATAAAACGAATAAAACGAATAAAACGAATAAAACGAATAAAACGAATAAAACGAGTAAAACGAATAACCGAATAAAACCGAATAAAACCAGTAAAACGAATAAACCGAATAAACTGAATAAACCGAATAAAACCGAATAAACCGAATAAACCGAATAAAACGAATAAACCGAATAAACCGAATAAACCGAATAAACCGAATAAAACGAATAAACGGACAATTCAATAAAACTAAACGAATAATTCAAATGAAGAATTTGTATTAATATTAATATTATTAAAAATGTGCAACTGGAAAATGGCCTATTTCCAAAATTTTTTATTGGACATTCTAAAATTTATCAATTTTATAATAGGATACCTTGTTTGACGCTAATACCCTTGTTGTGTAATTTAATCAAATAAATCATTAGTTTAGTCGTCTACATTCATTTAGTGAAATTGGATTGTCGATTCTTTAGATGCAAAAAGAATAATTTCATTATTTGTATTTTAAATTCAAGTATGTTTTAAGGATATATAAAGTAAATTGCAAAATCAAGAAAATAAGTATATTTTGAGAATTATTAAAATTCAGAGGTATATATTTTAAGTATATAATTAGGATATCTACATTTCTATTACTGTAAAAAATAAGAATATTTTAATTGTAAAATAAGTACAGTCAGACTCTCTATAATCATATGGTCGGGACCAGTGATTATAGCTAAGATCCCTCCTAATATAGTCACAACGAATTTAGGTGGACAGTCCCGCACATTTATTATGACTGTAGGATTTTGTGCGCAGTCATGCAACTTTTTTCTATTTTTAAATTGAGTTTCACAACATAAAAAAGATCATTATTAATTTGCCACAACTATGCTAGCATCTCTATTCTCTTCAACTACTGAAAATTTAGGAGCTTGGTTATCAGCCTTAATCTAAAACCATCAAGGAATGCTCCTCTTTTCTCTTGATGGAATTATATGTTTTGTTTTGTCTTCTTTGATCTAAGTTTCAATGTATAATTATTCGATATGCTGCTACATGTATTAGATTAGAGTCATCCCATTGACTTGAGCACTGTGATTCATTAATATTTGTTAAGGACTAAGGTTTCCGGTCCAAACTGTTTTATCAAAGCCCAAACTAGTTTGGGCAATTTGGGCCTCTCAGTATTTTTTATAACATGAACATTAAAAAACTACACCAATCGACTTATTTAACTTAAACAACTTTAAAGTAATTTCGCCCAATTTCGGCTAATAACAAAAAATATTTTGGGCTTATAAAAAAGTTATTTTTGCCCAAAGTGTTTCGGCAATTTCAGCTACTAATTGAAAGAGTTTCGGCCGGAAACCTTATTAAGGACAACCAACACCAGTTTGTGAGCTCTTGAGTGAATTCATCCCAGGATTGTCTACATCTTCTTACATTTGTACAAGAAGTTGGCTGTGATGATGAGTCACAGTCAACAGAGGAAGATTACATAATTTAAAATTAATAAAAAGCAATTGAAGTAAAAGAATTTAATTTTATTTATTTTTTTTGTAATAAATAAAAACCAGTTTACTATTGTTAAATGCGCAGCGAGTTTTATTATTTCTTGGCTTGGGAAACAATGTCACTGTTTAATCACATATAAAAATTATGATATATTTAAATTTCGGTGAAACCAGCATAGTGGAAATTTGAAATGTTACATTAATTTTTTATATTGTGCGATGTAACCTTACAATACACGGCAAACATTCTGGCAATAAAAAGTAAGTTATAAATTGGATTTGAATTTGATCTCCAATTTAGAGGTAACAACTATATACTGGTAAAGTTTCAAGAGCAACGGGTTCTATATAACATTTCGTGTAATAACAAACTTCCACTATGCTGGTGAGACCTTTTTCCAGAAAACCCCTACTCCTACTTTCTACTATATAATTGTTTATATAAAAATATATATGGGGCCAGGTGTTTTTTTTATTTTACTCAATAATACAAGAATTATATAATTGGTGAAAAAATTGGCCCCCGTTTGCATAGTAGAAAAATGAGATTTCTTAAAAAAACACGTGTAACCAAATTTATGTACACAATTTGAAATTTAGAAATAACTTTTCTTGGCAAGTAACGTTTTTATTTAAAGTTTTGGGGAAGATAAATATGGCAATTAGCAATTTAGCTTGCATATATGTATATTAATATATCATGATTATCATCAGGTGATCATCTAATTAATTATTACTTTAATTGGTTAATAAAATAAAAAAAATGAATTCTAAACCAAAAGAATAAATAGTTTGTTGATTTGTTTATATTAGGAAAAATAAAAATCGAGATTTTAACTGTTATCAATATACATATTAATTTATCACGCACACACATGCCTATAAAAATTTATACCAGTAGTCGTTCATTTCATAATTTCTTAGAAATTTGTGTTTTCCAAAATCATTCTCGGCAAATTTAAATCGGATGATTGTTGATTCCTTCATAGCATGAATGAACGAATGAACGAACACATCCATCATACATAATTCTCATCATAAATCTTCACGTTATTATTATTATATTGTATAATCGATACGAGATAAATTTTTATCGCACTCCCCCTCAACACACAAAATCGTATGATTTTAACCGTATGACTTAAATCGTATGACTTATATTTCTAAAAAAAATTTGAATGAATAAAGAAGACTTTATGTAACGAGAGTGGTAATATATGAATAAACAAAACAAATTGATTCTATAAATAGTAATAATTAATTTAAATAAACAAATATCCGATTAAACATTTATTTAAGATTATCATATTAATATTTAAATGCAAAACTTTTAGTTAGTAGAACTTTTTAACAAAATAAACTTTTTTAATTATTCTTATATGCATAACAATAATAATACACGACAATAATAAAAAATAAACAAATAAATTTATAATAAATCTTCTTCGTTGGCATAACATATCAAAAAATAAATAAATACTTGCAAAACGCAACTTTGAACTTTTTTTTTCAAAAAAAAGAAAAAAAGATTCTAATGATCGCAAAATAATTTATTTTTTTTTTTTTATTAAATATATTAATATTAAAATATTATTAATTATTAAATATTTAAATATTTAAATATTAAATATTAAATATTAAATATCAATTATTAAATATTAAATATTTTATCATTAATTATTTATCATAAAAATCTTTTTTTCTTTTTTTTTAAATTTCTCTTTAACGTCAAAATATTTGTAATTTTTATTATTTTTTAAAAAAGGAACAATAATTAATTAATTTTTGCCAAGGTAAAGTAAATATTATATGTACGTTTCATAATAAATAATTTTTATATTATATATATATATTATATATTTGGTAAGTATATATACGTATATATATATATATATATATATATATAATACACACATCCTAATATTAAACATTCTCTTAACAATTCACATTCGTTTTTATTTATAAAGCCTTTTATTCCCCGAGAATAGAATTTTTTTTCCCTTTCTTCCCTTTCTTCCCTTTCTTCGTACTTCCCTTTCTCATATTTCATTTCTCCATCTATTTTTTTTTTATCTTATAAATAATAATAAATATTTTATTTTTTTCTAGAAAAAAAAAAATTACAAAATATTATATAAATATTATTACAAAAAAATATGAAAACTATGGGAAGCTGGATTTCAGAAAGTTCAAAAAATATAAAAATAATAATGAAAACAACTACAAAATCGTCATTATCATATTCAATCATATCTATAATAATAATAATATCGTCGTTAATGTTAAACGTTTCAATAAGTTCTGCTGCTCCTTTACTAAAAGGTATTTATTATCCTTATTGTATGCAAAGTAGAGAAGTAACTGACTTGACTGACTTGAAATTTTCCTTTTAGAGAGAGCTGCGCAAACAAATCAAAATACTATTGATAATAGCATTAAAGGTACATGGGAGGAAGTTGGAAGGTAAAATAAATATCTATAATTATTATGAATTTTTAAAAAAATATAATTTATTTTAATGAACATTATTTTGTAGAACTGGTGTATCCGCGATGCATTGTGTACTAGTTCGTCCCACTAAAATGTTAATTATCGACAAAGGTAAACAAATATAGATATAAATAGATCCGGATCTAACTAATAATAATTATGAAGCTTATTTAAAATAATTTCTTTTTTTGATTTTTCTTATTAGCTCAAAAAAATCCAGAAGCAATATATCCAGATGAAAGTTATGCTTATACAACCGAATATGATCTTGTAACAAATACTTTTAGGATATTGACTTTAAACACAAATACTTTTTGTTCGGCCGGCTCTTTTCTTGAAAATGGTACTTTGATAGAAACTGGTGGTGCTGAAAATACTGTATGTATTGGTATATCAATTAATCTGTTGTATGTGAAATTGAAATCTATAATCGAAATTTTGGGGTGGGGTATTTGGATATGAAATTCTGATTAATTTCACATGTGAATTGCAAATTCACATAAATTTCATTTTCACAAATCCATAACTTAATTCATCATTACAATAATAATAATAAATAATAATAATTATTATTGTTATAATTAATAGTTCAGACATGAAGAAGGGTTTCAATCATTAAGAATGTACAGACCATGTGATGACAATAAATGTGATTGGACTGAATACCCAAATTTTATGAATTCTCCTAGATGGTATAATACTATGGTTAGGTAAATAATATCATTAAATATTTATCTGATTATAATCATTACTATCGTTAGTATACTAATAAATTTTTTATAAATGAATAGTTTACCTAATGGAGGATTACTTAATTTTGGTGGTTCAAAAAGAGCGACAAAAATAAATACGCACGAATTAGAGAATCTTTCTTTTGAAACTGTACCAAAAGACGATACTCCCATTGATTATGAAGTAGACTTTCTTATTGAAACGTATGTATTATATTATATGTACATTGTATTATTCATACATAATTGTTTGTAATTAAAATTTTATTATCAATCAATAATTTTCATTATCCCTCTATCTCTGTCTATTTTTATATATAGCTTTCCGTATAATTTATATCCAACTGTCATGGTACTGCCTGGTCCTAAAGAACAAACATGGTTATTTTTAGCTGCAAACAGCAAAGCTGAAATATGGGATTATGTTAGTAGATCAACTGTAAAAAAATTACCTGACATACCCGGTGGTCCTCGTTACTATCCATTAACCGGTTCAACCGCTTTGCTTCCATTGTCCTATGAAGACAATTATACATCTGCCGAATTTATAATTTGTGGTGGTGGTAGTGCCGATACTCTGGTACCGGATTCACCGGCCGCAAATGATTGTGCAAGAGTTAATATCACAGATCCGAATCCGGTTTGGAAATTGGAACCTTTTGGTAACATGCCAAATGGTAGAATAATGGGTGACACTATACACCTGCCTGATGGCACTTTAATGTTTATAAATGGCGCTGGTCAAGGTTATGCAGGTTGGGATAAGGGCCCATTTGACAACAGACTTCACACAGCCAGTCTTCCACAAAAAGCACCCCTAATATACGATCCGAAAGCCGACGAGGCTAACAGATGGAGAGTGCTAGCCGAAGATCCATTAGTACGTGTTTACCATTCAGTCGCAAGTTTATTGCCAGATAGTACTATTTTTGTTGCCGGAAGCAATCCAAATCCTAGTTATTGTGACACTTGTGAATATCCAACAGAGTACCGCGTGGAAATATTTACACCACCGTATTTATTAACTGGAGCCGATCAGGCTGAAATTAAATCAGTAGCTGGTACAAGTGATTTGAATGCCGTCCATATTAAAACAAGAGTTTCGTACGGTCAGGTGATAACTGTGATAGTTGAGACTGATGATGAAGAACCACAATTTACCGCTTCAATAATACACATGGGCTTCATTACTCATTCAACTCATATGTCATCAAGAATAATACTATTAAAGATTCAGCAATTAATACGAATTGACGGTGGCTTTGCTGTTGATCTTACTATGCCACCAAATTCAAACACATTACCACCTGGTCGTCATCATTATTTATACGTGTTAAACAAAGGTATACCAGCTGTCACGGCAGTTGAAATAGATATTAGAGAAAATAATGTTTGAAAACTATGTTTTGTTAAAAAACTATTAATTAAATAATAATAATAATATATATTTTTTTTTGTAAAATATTTTTTTTCAGTGTTATTTGTTATTATTATTATTTGTTAATCATTTTAATTTTCAAACGTTTATTTATTTTAATATTTATTTATTCATTTTAGCATTTTTAAAACATTTTATATACTCACCACCACTCACACACAAATACATTTAGTATTTATTTTTAAATTTTAATTATTAATTATAATTTAATATTATTTTTGTACAAAAAAAAAAGGTTATAATTCTTTACAATAGATTGTTGACATTTTAGATTTACAAAATTTCCCAGCGATTTTTTTATTTTATTATTTAAAAGAATTAAAGTTAAATTTATTAAATAATAAATAAAAATAATAGTTTTTTTCTCGCTTTCTACAAATTTATAATAATAATACGACCGGTGCGACTATATAACCCATCAATAACTTTATAACTTTAAAGCTAAATAGGAAAATATTGAATGCTTATTTGAAAAAAATAGAGTTGATATTGGATAGCTATTGATTAGTTCCTACGACCTATCGTCGAAAGTGGGAAAACGAAGGAGTGAAAGGATCGACATTTATAATTAAAATAACAAAATAAATAAGATTCCCAATATTCAAAAGATGCCAATCGCAGACTGCAAAAGAAAATGACAGTTTCAACAGCATAATGGACATTCGTTTATCACATAGTGACAAAATTTGATCTTTTTTAAATAGAAAAACTACTTGTTTTGCTTGAAGATACTTTTCATTAGTTAAAAGGCTTGGACAAAAATATCAAGGGTGATTATTGATTTTGAAGGATTTCAACATGTACTGAATTTTTTCAATTTCAAAACATATTTATAATTTATACAATAAAGGTAATCAATCCTCAAAGGAAAACCAAACTAGGTTATAAAGGAATAAAGAAATAATATATATACACACACACAGATATTAACTATTGTTAAAAATATTTTTATTATTATTTCAAAGGTGACAGAATCCTCAAAAAAACAAGTATTACACCATAAAATATTGGGTTGGTCACAATGGTTGATCATCAAACATAGTTCAGAAGCATAATGGACATTCAAAATGTTACACTAATTTTTTATGTTGTGTACCGTAATTTTACAATACACTGTGAATGTTGTCTCAATAAAAAATTGCCGATAAAATGGATTTCAATTTGTTCGCAATTTTGTTCACGAACCTAGAGAGGCGACAACTATATACTGGTGAAGTTTCAGGAACAACGGGATCCGTGTAACATATTGTATAACGACGAATGTCCACCATGCTCAATATAGAAAATTACTATCTGCTATGTGCGGATTTTTTAATGTTACACGTATATAACATTATAGTAAATAATCAAAGATTTATTTAAACTTTAAAACGTAAAGGCTTGATAACCAAGCAAGCTGTTGGAATAATCCTTCCGTGATTGTATTTGCAGATACTCAATTAAGGGCCTGTCAGAGAGTTTTTTTCATTTATATTAGTAAAAAAATTATTTGTAAAGGTTCAAAGTTGTCATTTTACTATAAACAATGGAAATTTAGATAAATTTCAAATCTAAAGGTTCAATAACCAAACTAGCTGTGGGAATAATCTTTCCGCGATTATATTTCCAAACACACAGTTAATAACCGATCAGAGAGTTTTTTTCATTTATATTAGTAAAAAAATTTTTTGTGAAGGTTCAAAGTTATCAATTTTGTTGATTTTTACTATTAACAATGGTAAAGGCTCAATAACCGAACTCCTTATAAGATCTTCCTTTTTCATTACCAACAATAAACACAAGTTCTATGCATTGGAAGAATAATTTATTAAAGATACAATGAGTCTCTACTGGTCGAGGAAATTTAAAAAAGAAAAAGTCACTTGTTTTTAATATAATTCTAAATTGAATAGATTCCCTTTACTATATATTTAACTATTTTTCTCATTACAGTTTGTGACACACATGTTTGTAAAATATCTTCCCAAAATAAATGGCTAACTTTAATATTATAAGTTTAGTACTAGTTGTTTTATTACCTTTTATAATTGAAAAGTTACGTAATTATTCCCGCTCACAAGAATCAAACATAAAGAACCAACAAAAAAAAACATCGCAGGACCAATTTATTTATTTCCTTATTCTTTCAACCTTTTCAACACAAATTTATTATATATTTTGGTCAAAACCACCAAACATATTTAGAGAAACAGGGCTTCCATTATTAGGCTCTTCTACAAGTCTTATCAGAACAATACTTTTACAAAACAAATCAGAATTATCAGAAGTTGAAGAACTTCTCTTAGAAAAATTAAAATCAATTGGAAATCGTATGATTTATGCAACATATGGCGAAGAAGCATTATTAGAGTGTACTTATTGCAAAGAACCAACAGACTATTTGTATTATATATTTCCTACAATTGGCTGGTCGTATGTGGTAGTGGTATTTGTATTAGGCTTAGTAACTATGTTGAAGCGAAAATCACACTGGAGGGTTTATGGAGTTATATTTCTTGTAGGATGTGGTGTAGTTGAATTTTATACATTCAGCCAAGCTGATGTTAAACAAAATGGAAACACAGAATTTTTATATTGTACAATGGACTTATACCGACGTTTAGCTTTTTCATTTTTATTTTTAGCAATCATATTAATTGATAAAACAAACGAAAGATCAACTAATGAAATTTTGAAAGATGTAGCTAAAAGACAAGAAGCTATAATCTATCGAGCAAAAGCGGTGAACCTGCAAAGAATTGCAGTACTTAGAGATTCAAACTTACGAAGGATTTTTGTGGATCATTTTAAAAGATTAGAAACAAAAGATAATATGTTGTCAATGGATCCTGTATATAGAAATGCAAGAGCAAGAGCTATTTCAAGATTTAATCTAGAAAGATTAATGAATGAGGCTGATAATTATATTGATAAGATATATAGGTTGAATAGTAGTGGGTCAGATTTGGATTTATCTTGGTAGTTTATGATAATCATGATAATGATGATATAATAATTTAAGCATATTTATTATATTTTTTTTTGCATGAGAGATTTTTTTCACGTAAGCCGAAAGACGGTTGAATCACCGACCTTCAGTTTACAAGGACTGGCTCTACCTTTAAGCTACGTTGACCTTTTAACGGGTATTTTGTAATTATATATAATCAAAATATTTATTATTTTATGGTGAACACCTCATTTATTCTTTTATACACAAAATCAATCACCAATTGATTTTCCACACACCATTCCAAATAAACAAACAAAAAGTTAAATAGAAGAACGAGTTACAATTATTAATAATAATATGATCGTAATGATACAAGAAAATAAAACAAAAAACTGTGCTAGTTCTATGTATTTATATACAAAAAAATATGTAATATATCTAAAAAAGAAAAATTTTATATATAAAAAAGAAGCATTCATCGGATGTCAAAGCACATGGTTTTCCGAGTTCTTTTTCTTCAGGTCTGTAATGAACAAATTCTGTCGACTAATGAAATTTTATCTGCTGAATCGACAGAATTTCGATCGTAATTATCGCTATTGTTGTTAATGCTTTCTCTATTTCCAAAAATAATTCCGTTATATGAATCTTGGCAAGAATGACCTTTGTGAATGTATGTTGAAGGCACTTTCATATTAATGAGGGTTTTTCTTTCGTGATTATTATTCATTAAAGAATTGAAATCATTTGAGTTTGTGGTAGAAGATAAGGCATTACTATTGTTGTTGTCATTGTCAATTTTTAAAATTTTTATCTTTCCTACTGAACGATTTGCCGTATTATTACTAATTATATGGGTTGTATCGGTACCTACTTCAGATTGTTCTCTTTTTCTTATTTTCTTTGAGTTTGAAGAATGTTGAAGAACTTCGTTCATATGACGTTGTTTTCCTACTCTGGGTAATTGAGTCGGTAAACGTGAAGATTTTGATGGACTTAATGGTGGCGATTGTGGAGGTGAGGTTTTCTGTGATATAAAATGTGATTTTGTTGGAAGTGGAGTTGTTGGTGATAAAGGTGATAGAGGTAATTGTGTTGATGTAATTGATGTGGAAACCAATTGGTGGTGATGATTTTGTAGTGATTGTTGTTGATTAGCACTAGTTTCCTTTGGATTTTGCTTATTAAAAAGACCCCCAAGAATATTTATATTAATCTTTTGCGGTTTATTTGCAATTGAAGGTAATACTTTATTATTATTTGAATAAAGCTCGTCATCAAATTCTTCTTTTCCCAAAGATTGTTGTTGATTAGTTTTGGAGGTTGTGGGCAATGATCCCAGTGGCAGTGTATGTGGAAATTTTAATTTTTTATTAGTCGATGAATGATTATCAGAGTATGGCGTAGAACTAAGCAAATGGGTTGGAAAAGTTGGTTCGATTGTTGACATAATCGTATCTTTATCATGATTACCATTCCCAATAATAAAATTATTATTATAATCATTATCATTACTATTGTTAAAATCTCTTCTATCAATTGGTGATGATAATAACAACAATGATATAGTATTATTTAATTTTTGTTTTGGTTGTTGTGGTTGTAGTTGCTGGAAATAATCTCGCGTTCCATTCATAACATTATCTGCTGGTGATCTTCTTGGTGGTGGTTGAGGTCCCATGAATATTTGTTCTTTCTTGTTATGATGATATTCTTCTTTGGTTAAATTGATCGAATCATAATTTATTGAGCCGGTATTATTTATATTTGATGTACAATTTAATAATCCTTTTGCCCCTTTTTCTTTTCTCCTTCTTTCTCTTCTCGTTTCCCTGTCTTCTACTTTAGCATTACTGCCTTTTTTTGTTTTTTTCCTTATTGGTAATTTTTGTAGTGATGAAGGTTGCTTAATATTAATATTAGCGTTATTATTATTATTATTATTATTATTATTACTTAGCATATAATTATAGCCACCAAATGACATCATTATACTCTCTTCTAGAAGTTGACGTCTAAAGATAAGTGATGCTCGATTAGATGATTGTATTAAAGATGTACGTTTTCTCAAAGAATTTTTACGAGAAAGAAAATTAGATGTCGAAATCTTTGAATTATGTTTTTGATCAATTGTTAACATTTTCGAATTACAATTTGTGTTATTGTTGTCGCTGCTGCCGATGTTATTTTTATTGTTTTCTTCTGTTGAAATATTTGTCATCATTAAAGTATTGTTTACAGTTGAAATTAGGGAAGAACTCGTAGAACAATGAGGTAAAGGTACAAGTGAAGCGTGAAGCAATTGGGGAGGTTTAGAAAGTTCTGGCAACCATGGATAAGCCGAGTTTTTTTGCGGAAGATCAGCATCTATATCAGTAGGATCATTGGAATGGGTTGGGTTTGAAGTTGGTGCATATTCCATATTTTTTGGTATTATTTTCCTGTGTATGTTACTATTGATGCGTTTTAATCTACGATTTGATGGAATTCTAACAAGATTACCATGAGTCAACAATTTTGGATCGATAAAAGCCATTTCTTTAGGAATAATGATTTCTTTTTGTTTATCCAAAATTCCTTTTCTCTTATTTCCAATTTTAAGACTTTTAACTGGTGCCATAGAGGCATTTTTTTTTAATTTTTGTTGTGGTTTTGAATCATCAACCATCGCATTGTTAGAATACATAAATTTTTTTTTTGGTGATTGTTTTTGTAAATATAAATTTGGTTTAACATTTGATTTGGTGCTGACAAATTCAATATGTTGTTTAGAGCGCGATTGTGGTAAAGGTGGTGGTGGTGATGGAGTTGATGGTTTTGGAGGTGGTGGTGAAATATTACCTCTTTTACGTTCCCCATTACTAACAAGCAAATCGTTAACTGAAGTATAAATATTTTCAGGACGAGAATTTCTTTTTTTACTTTTTGTTGAAGAAGTTGAAGTGCGAAATTGATTGACTTTGGGAGTAGTGGAAGAAGCAACTTCGTTTTCAAATTCATTTTTTATAGGACTATTTAATACCTCTACAACAGTTGTAACTTTTATGCCACCATAAGGTGATTGAGGGATATCATCAAGATTCATGGTAATAGTATTGTCGAAATTTGACGTATTAATTGGGGATAATATTTTAGTTGATGATTCAGATTTTTTAGATAGTGAAGATGAATTTTTATTAACAGAAGTTTGGTGTTGTTGAAATGTCAATTTAGATAATGAATGATTAATTGATGATGATGATGAGAAATTTGCAGCCTGTGCAGAATCCGAAAAGGTAGCAGTGGAATCAACGTCTTTAGACCGATTTAAATCATAAGTTCCATATCTTTTTACGAAACTGTTTCTATCAGAAGCAATTATTATGCTGGCGTTATTGATTTTATCATCTTCAATTGTTATATTTTCATCATGATTTGAAGATACATTGAGATCATTATTGATAACAGATGAAGATAAAGATTCGTGAGAGTCTACATGGCTTTCATCATCCTCAGCCATTATTTTTTTTCGATCCTTTCCAGTTATCGAGCTCCAAATTTTGTTTATTTGAGAATGTGAACTACTAACCACACCACCTACCGAATTGAATACTTGTCGGAGCCGCACAGCGACTGATAATTTTCAAAAGAAATAAAAAAAAAAGTGCGGTTTTTCTCACAAAGAGTGCTTCCTCTCTCTTTTTTTCTATTATTAAACAGCAGTTGGGGCTGTTGTAATGGTTGCTCCTTTTGTTTAATCTCGATTTTTAGGTTCTTTAAGAAATTTTAAAAGTTAAGGAGAAAAAAAATTTTTTTATTGATATTAAATTGGTATATTTTCTTATCATGAAAGAATTTAAATTAAAATTTTGGATACAGAATTCAAAAGAATCGGCACCTTTTTTTTATTTTATTTTATTTCTAAAAAGGGGAAAAAAGGGAAGATGACGTTAAATTTAAAAAAGATTATTATTAAAGTAAAATGTCTATAACAATATAATAAATTTAATTAACCTTGGGGGGTTTTTTTTAATAGTGTAGACTATTTTGATTATTTATGAAAATATTTGTCATAATTTACTTATGATGAAAATTTTGGGTTTTTTTTTTTAAATTTATGAAATTTTAAAGAATGTAAATAAAATAAATTCCAAAGTTCAGAAGTTACACTCAACATGCATATTTTTAAATTTTTAAATTTTTAAACCTGAAACCTTTATTTTTTGAGTGCGAGTTGATCATTTCTTAATTTGAATTTAATAAATTGAATTCATTTTCTTTTCGAACCTATTATAGTTTGTTATTTACATTCTTGAATAAAAAAGAATCGTTGTATCTTTGAAACAAGATTTGGATCGTACAAGGGTTTTTATAGACAATTATGTGCCAATCAATTTAGGGAAGAGCCAGGAATACGTGATATAATATAAGGGCCAATCCCCCCTTGTGACTGACTATATAGTAATAGTTATTGTTATAAATATTAATGTGTGAAACTTTGGAAGCCCCTCCCTCATTCCTAAACACGTATTTTCTGACAGTATTTTTTAAAATATACTTGTATATAAAAATGAGCATAAATCTTAATTTAGGAACTCATTCTAAAGCTCTTTTTTCAACATATCAAGCAGTACTTACAGGGGATAAAAATACAACTTGGGTTGTTTATGGGTATGATAAAGGAGGAAATGATTTGAAGGTTATAGAAACTGGAGGTGATTTTGTGATAATTTAAGTTATACAAATTATTATATTATCTTTTATTAGTTGGTAGTCAATAATTATAATTACATTTAGGAGGTGATCTTGATGAGTTGCAAGAAGAATTTGATGACGGAAAGATTCAGTACGCTTTTGTAAGAGTAATAGATCCTAATACAGAGCTGCCCAAATTAATTCTTATAGGATGGGTGAGTTTGTATTAAATTAGTTAATTTTTACTTTGAGAATTGGTTGAAATAACATTTATATTTTGTTTATCTGATACAATAATGGACAAAGTTAGTGTGGTGAAGGTGTGCCTGAATCAAAGAAAGGTTTATTTAATTCGCATTTTAATGATGTAACAAAATTTTTAAAGGTTGGACTTTTTAATAATCAAATTTAAAAATTGATTTTCAATAATAATGATTTATATTCGTAATTTCATAGGGATATCATATTCAAATCACTGCCAGATCTGAGGTAAATAGATTAATACAAATTTACAGGAGATATTATAGAATGATCATACTAATATTATTAAAACGATATAAATTAGGCTGATGTTGATCCTGCATACATTATGAAACGTATCAATGAAAGTGGTGGATCCAAATATTCAATAAACATTGATAAACGTCCACCAAAAAAAGGAGAGCCTATCTTACCAGTGGTACGTTAAATGGTCAGCCTTAAATTATTTCAATTATTTATAGTTAAAAAATAAATATCATTATATTAAGCATTCAGTCTATCAACCTGAGAAAATACCTGATATTACTGCTTTACAAAGAAAGGCGCCTCGAGATGAAATAAAACCTGTGGTATATATTAATTTCAAAAAAAAGATATATTTTCTTTTTTGATAAGCTATTCTATGTGATTATATTATAATGTAATCCAATTATTATTATTTTAATATAGTCTTCAGTATATCAACCAGTACAGCTTCCAAAGCCAAAACCTCTTGCTACACGTACAACTTGGACAACTACTGCAGAAGAAGAAAAAACCCCCAGTATGTCAGAGCTTAAAGCTGAGAAGTTACGTGAGGATCGCGAAAAAGAAGAACGCGAGAAACATGAACAGCAAGAACGTGAGAGATTAGCACATGAAGAGCATAAACTTCATGAACGTCAAGAACGTGAAAGATTAGCACATAAAGAAGAAGAACAGAAACGACAACAAGAGGAGGAAATTAGTAATTTAAGGTTAGCTAAAGAAAAAGAGGACATTGAAAGAGAAGAGAATGAACACAAGGAAAGATTAAGAATTCAAAAAGAATTAGAAGAGCAAGCATTGAAGGAAAAACAGGAACAGGAACACCAAAGAAAAAAGGTCTGTTAAATTTTTTAAAATTTTTATCCAAACTCATTAAAGTTTAAAGTTTTATTAATTTTTAGGCTGAAGAAATCTTTAGAAGGGAGGAACAGGAAAATTCTCAAGTAATAATATTTAAAAAAAGGAATCTTGAAAATGAATATTTGCTAACTTTTTTGTTAATGTTCTAGGCACCAAAATCAGAAACAGTAACTGACATTATTGCTTCTGCTGATGAGGAAGACATTAATTCAACATCCTCATTTAGAGCACGGGTTCTTTTTTCTTATGATGCAGGTATTTTCATTTTTAGTTTTTTTAAAAAATTGAAATTTTAATTCTAAAATTCTTATTTGTTTACATCAATCCTTTTTATTATCAGATGATTCGAATGAGATGACACTATTTGAAGGTGAAATCATTAAAGATATTCTTAAGTTAGATGAAGGATGGTGGCAAGGAGTAAGTGAAGATGAAACTAGATCAGGATTATTTCCAGGTATTATAGTTTGTATTTTGTTTGGGGAAATTTGGTGTGTTTATAAGGCATTTTTAATTAATCACCGTATCTATTTTTTTCAATTTTATATTATAGCAAATTATGTTGAAATTATTGAGGATGACCCAGATCCTGTGCAAGAATTCATACAAAAACCAGTAAGTCTGCAAGTAATTTAAATTTTTAATTATAAATGTATAAAGCTTTATTGTAAAAATCTAAATGCATAAACATATATAGGATGCAGAACAGCAAGATGCTATAGATGAAAATGGACAAAACGTACAATCATCTATGTATTCAGCAATTGCGCAGTATGTTTATGAAGCGGGTGAATCTAATGAAATCTCTTTTGTTGAAGGTGATCTTATTACTAATATTGAATTTGTCTCTGAAGATTGGTGGCAAGGTACTGCTTCAGATGGAACAGTTGGATTATTTCCAGGTAAAAAAAAAATATAAAAATTGTAAAGGTATAAATAAACACACAAAAATAATGTTTTACTAATATACATTTTTTTCAAAAAAAAATATCTGAAGCCAATTATGTAAAATTGCAAGAATGATAAAATTATGTATTATTTATTATGTTGAACAATTTTTAAAAATAAATTATAGTCACATGAGTGTCACATGAATTGTCAATATATAATTTTTTAAAAATGCTTTTTTGTCCTTGTTGTGGTAATCTTCTTTTAATTCAACATCATACAAGGGGTGAACAATCCTTTTTTTGCCAAACGTGTCCATATGTTTTTCCTATTGGTGCCAAAGAGGTTTGTTGTTTATGAAAAAACATTTCTTGTTTCCTCGACTTAAATTTTTTTTTTGTCCATAGTATAAAAATCGAACTACTTTAAAACGGAAAGAAGTTGATGATGTGCTTGGTGGTGAAGAGGGCTGGAAGAATGTAGACTCAACAGAAGGTCAACATATACACATAAATAAATACATAATGCACACATATATACACAAGTGTCATTTAATTAATCTATTTTTTTGTTAATATATAGCAAGATGTCCAAAGTGTGAACATCCGCGTGCTTATTACATGCAGATTCAAACACGTTCATCTGATGAACCAATGTCAATATTTTATAAATGTTGCAATCATGATTGTGAATATCAATGGAATGAAAAATAAATGTAACGAATGAATTGGCATTATTTTTGTTTTTAAACATTAAAAACACACTTGAGGCATAAATTATTTATTTTTTTTAGTTCCATTATCAATTAACTGTGTAACTTTTGTATTAGTTAACCAATCCAATTCTATATTTTCTAAATGTTCATCAAAGTCATATAAATGTTCAAAATGTTTTGTAAGAATTGATTCAGCTGTCAAATTAGCCACATCTGAATTTTCAAATTTAAATATAGGCTCCGTTGTTTTCGTAGAAATTGCTTTATTATCAGGACGCCACTGATTTTCTTTAAAAATATATGGCTAATTTAAAAATTAAAGTTAGTTATGGGTAGAAACTCTTGGTTAATATAGAAACTCTAATAATTACCAGAATTGCTATTTCTGGTTTTTCTGGTGATAGTTTTATATTCTGAACCTAAAGAATTTCAAAAGTAAATGAATAAATGAATAAATGAATAAATGAATAAATGAATAAATGAATAAATGAATAAATCATAAATCACAAATCACTAATCATAAATAATTATATAATTAATAAACATACTACAACAGCAATTGCATTATTAAAGGTGTCTTGAATTCTTGATGCTATTTTTTGACCAAATGGTGGCAATTTATTATCGTCAACTCTTTCATTTCCATGATAGTATCCAACCACATTAAGCTTATTTCTTTTAGCATAAATATCAACCTGGATGTAAAAAGAACGAAATTAAATTAAAGGAGCAAGTTTTACTATTCAAACATTGTTGATCTTTGCTATTTTTCACCTGTTGTAAACCAACTTCCAACATTGGCGTCAAAGTAGTCCAATGATGAAATAAAGGAATTGCATCTGTTATTACTATCTGGTCATCAGCATTATTATCAGATGAAGATAATGTATCTTCCGATAAGAGCAAACCATTTACGGTTGAAGTAGAATGCTTACAACAGTGCAAAATTATTTTTATATAGGCTTTTGTTGCAAATATATATTTTACCATTTTTTATATAAAAACTTTTTGATTCAAAAATTTTTAAGTAACACAATGTAATAATTTTTATTATATAAATCGGCGATCCAGCGTCCTATAGCGCAGGGACATCTTAACGGTCAATGATTATCACATGACTTTAAAAGCTTATAACTCCTTATTAAAAAAGAAAAAGAAAAAAGAATTAAAGCTAAGATCTAAGCTTCATTTCCATAGGTTTACCTTTTCATTTTATTAGAAAAGTTGAGTTATCCCTTAAACGGTCAGAGTATCTTTAATGTAACACAAATTAAAGTTTCGATCATTCTTATTGGTCAATTTAACGATCAGCAAAGTAAAAACAGTCAATCAACCAACTTTTAAAGAAAATTTTATGAAAACCACAAGGACAACAACCATGTTTTTATTTATAAATCAATCGGTTGAATCTCAAAGATCATTTTCGTATTAGGAAGTAATACCCTTAGAAAAAATTTTTTATATCAGAAAAAAAATTTCAGCTATCAATAGCCAAAAAACCGTTTAAGGGATAACGTCATCAATTTCAATAATATTATTATCATTTTCAAAATCTTGTGATTTTCTTTTTTGATTATTTGATTTATTTCTTTTTGATTGTACAATTGATAAGTAATGTTTAGGACAAAGTTGATCATTAATTTCAAGGTAATTGTAATCCTCATATGTGCCATGATTTTTAGCATTTTTAAACCATCTTTGGTGAATCTTTTAAATGTAATATCTTTTGCCTTACAATTTAAAACATTGTATGGGCCTAAATTTTTAGTAGTCATTTTATTGGTTATAAAAATATTATTTAAGAAAAATGGGGATTTAAAATTGGTTTTTTGTTTTTTTATTTTTTTTAATTTTTTTAAATAAATTTTTATAAATTAACATGTTATATATATTAATATTATTTGTATTCTTCGGGAATAAATTTTTAATTGGCCACATTTTTTTATTTTTAGAATTTGTGTAATAATCTTCAAACCAATCAAAATTAGATTTATGTGATAATTGGAAATAAGATCAACAAAAATCTGGCCAATGAAATAGTTGTTTTTGCGATCTGCAACAGTATCCACTATGCTCTAGCATAATGGACATCCTATTTATCACAAAGTGACAAAATTGAATGTCGATCTTTTTTATATTGTGAAACAGAAATTTTCAATTATTTTAAAGTAAAAAAAAAGAGGAATATCGGTACAAAAAAAC